TCCAATCAGAAACCAGTTCTGATGTTTCATCCAACCAGAAACCACTTCTGATGCTTCAACCAATCAGAAACCAGTTCTGATGCTTCATCCAATCAGAAACCAGTTCTGATGCTTCATCCAATCAGAAACCAGTTCTGATGCTTCATCCAATCAGAAACCATTTCTGATGCTTCATCCAATCAGAAACCAGTTCTGCTGCTTCATCCAACCAGAAACCACTTCTGATGCTTTATCCAATCAGAAACCAGTTCTGATGCTTCATCCAGTCAGAAACCAGTTCTGATGCTTCTCCAATCAGAAACCAGTTCTGATGCTTCATCCAATCAGAAACCATTTCTGATGCTTCATCCAATCAGAAACCAGTTTTGGTGTGTGTTTGGGGTCATCATCCTGCTGTAACAATGTCCAAATTTCAACCATCTAGTTTTTTGTTAGAGATTAAATTAAAGGAACATCATGATGCTACCACCACCATGCTTGACACTGTAGTTTGTCATTTGTAGGCTTGAAAGCCTCATTTAGACTGTTCAAAAAGACTTCTTCTTCACTGTGACCAAAAAGATGAATCTTTGTCTCATCTGAGTATAAAAATTTTGACCAGAAATATTTTGGTTTGTTCAACATGATTCATTTCACTATAATTGAATTAGATTTTGGATCAGGTAAGCATTAATCTGGATTTGTGATTTGGACTTTTTAAATGCTTTGATAAAACTTCTATTGTGAATTGTCCTATGCAAATAAACTGAACTGAAATCAGATGAGGCAAAAATCTGAGGTATGTATCAGAGATTTGCCATAAATTATAAACAGATTAACAATATAAAATGTTTTCTTTCTGCCACCTGGAATAAAGGTGAAACAAGATAATTCCATTTTAAAAGAAGTATTTTATAAATCTAGTTTATTTAAATAATGTAAAGGTTATTATCTTGACTTTGTATTTATTAATTTTTTTGGTGACTGACAGCTGAGGTAAAACAAAAAAGGTACTTACCTTTGTTTTACCTCAGCTGTCAGTCACCAAAAAAACTAATAAATACAAAGTCAAGATAATAACCTTTACATTATTTAAAGTAAGTACCTTTTTTAAACAAATGTCTAGAGAATGCTGTGTATTTACACATTTAATTACTTTATCTCTTATATTGTTTTTATTGCTTTTTGCAAGTAACTGCTGGGAAAAAGTCAAGTTTAGGATGGACGTTTTAAAACTCTGCAAATGACATCTGCAATGAAAATAAGAATAAAATTTGTAAACATGAACTGTTTTGGTGTTTATTCAAAGTTTTTAAATGTTTATTTGACAGTAAACATGGAAGATCTTATGATTTGTGTATTTGTGTCGAGACTTTAAACCCACTTCACGTTAAATGCTGGAACATATCTGGTGTCATGTTTGTAACGCACACACTTCTTCAAAGTTCAGCCTCAGATGTAGGAACAGTGAAGCGGTTGTCATGACAACCAACACATGTATCAATCAGCTGAGTGGGACCAAAGAAGGCTGCAGAGTCCAGTGACTCTGAAACAAACATCAGAGCAGAGCAGTGGTGGTCTAAAACCTCTGAAGAGGATCAAACATGCCAAACATCTATTTACTGAAATAATTTGCAAACTCTCCTTTAAACGAACAAATGCTGCATCACCAAAGAGCTCTACTGAGGTTCCTGTGTTTAAATGAAGCTGAAGATTCAGATGAATATCTATATCTAATCTAAGTTTCATCTCAAAAATTCTAGAGAAAATAGTTGCAGGTCAGTTGCGTGAACATCTACAAAGAAATAATCTGTTTGAAGAGTTTCAGTCAGGGTTTAGAGCTTATCATAGCACAGAAACAGCACTAGTAAGAGTAACTAATGATATTCTCATGGCCTCAGACAATGGACTTGTGTTTCTGGTCCTGTTAGACCTCAGTGCTGCATTTGATACAGTTGATCACAATATTTTACTACAGAGGCTTGAATATGATGTTGGGATTATAGGAACCGCTCTAAAATGGTTTAAATCATATCTATCTGATAGATTCTAGTTTGTAAATGTAAATAATAAATCTTCTTCATACACCAAAGTTAGTCATGGAGTTCCTCAGGGCTCAGTGCTTGGGCCAATACTCTTTACTTTATATATGCTTCCATTAGGTAAAATTATTAAACAGCATGGAATAAATTTTCATTGTTATGCTGATGACACACAATTATATTTGTCCATTAAACCCAATGGATCCAATCAGCTACTTAGACTACAAGCATGTCTTAAAGACATAAAAACTTGGATGGCTCTTAATTTTCTCCTGTTGAACACAGACAAGACTGAGGTTTTGGTTTTTGGACCTGAGCACCTTAGGAACACATTTTTCAGTCTTTCTCCCTCCTTAGATGGCATTAATCTGTCCTCCAGCTCTAATGTTAAAAATCTTGGTGTTGTTTTTGATCAGGACATGTCTTTTATCCCCCACATTAAAAACGTTACTAGAACTGCCTTCTTCCATCTGCGTAATATCACTAAAATTAGAAACATCTTATCTAAAAATGATGCAGAAAAACTGGTCCATGCATTTGTCACGTCTAGACTGGACTATTGAGTTAGGAGAGATCATATTCTCTCCAGTTTTAGCTTCTCTCCATTGGCTCCCTGTCAAATCCAGAATAGAATTCAAAATCTTACTTTTAACCTACAAAGCTCTCAACAACCTGGCTCCATTTTATATTACAGATCTTATTGTTCCATATTTTACTAACAGAGCACTTCGCTCTCAGACTGCAGGTTTACTTGTGGTTCCTAGAATTTACAAAAACAGAATGGGAGGCAGATTTTTTAGTTAGGGTTGGCTTGAGTTTCCTGAGCTGTCCCTTAGTTATGTTACTATAGGCTTAGACTGCTGGAGAACAAACTGACCACAATCTTCACTCTGCTACGGTCTTTACTTACTCTGCTCAACCTGTTTTATTTTTTCTATCCTTAATATGTGTTTTTTTTTGTCTTTCAGATACACCTGGACCTACCATTCTGTGTTCATCTGTCTCTCCTTCCTGTCCTCTTAACCAGTCGGTCAAAGCAGATGGCCGCTTGTCCTGAGCCTGGTTCTGCTGGAGGTTTCTTCCTACAGGATTTAGCAAAAAGGAAAGTCTTAAGCCTAGTTTTAAAACTGGATAATGTGTCAGTCTCACGGACAGAGATTGGAAGTTGGTTCCACAAGACAGGAGACTGATAACTTTTAAAAAGGGAGTTTTTCCCCTTTCCACTGTTGCCACTGTGCTTGCTCAGGATGGGAGACTGCAACGAAGCCAAGAGTCAACTGGTCTGCTGGATTCCTTAGATAGAGAACTTTACTAATTGGCTTTTATGTATGTGAATGTTTCTGTAAAGTGTCCTGAGACAACTTTGTTGTGATTTGGCGCTATATAAACTGAATTGAATGAATGAAGCGTGGAGTCCTGGTTCAGTGAGCCGCTGCTTCAGATTCACCTGAAGCACTTTAGATGTCTTCATCATTGTGCAGTCTGTAAAAACTCTGGACTCGAAAACTTTGAAGCTCTAAAACATGTTGAAGTATCGAGCACTGACTCCAAATTTAAGCTGCTCTCAATGTAACGAGTCTGTATGGATCAGCACAACACCTGACTCAGGACAATATTTAAAAAAAAGTTTTATTTATTAAAGGCGTTCGTCTGGGGAGGATCCGAGCCTCGGTTCTGGTCCAATTTATGAAGACAGACAGGTTAGTGACTGCAAAAAGGTTCTGGGAGCTGAGAGAGGTGGTGTGCACGTCACTAACCTTCTGTGGCAGGAGCAGGGCTGAGACAGAGAATGTTGGAGGGCTGGGCAGGAAATAGAATCCAGGGACGTAGCAGGGGTCGAGCCAGGAGCTGTGTAAACAGGCAAAAGGATGATCCGTAGTCGTGGTCGAAGAGGAGAGCGAGGTTGTACTGTGTAGGCCGAGAGCGTGGTATCCAGACAGGGGCAAAGTCAAAGCGAGGAGTCAAGAGTGAAGCTGTGGTCAAAAACAAAGAAACTAGGAACAAGAGAATGCTGGATAAATTACTGGCTGTGAGGCTTTCAATAATCTGGCACTGAGGAGAGTGAGAGTGGAGCTTAAGTAATGAGCTGAAGAGGTGTGGCAGGTGAGTGGTGATTGCAGAGACAGGGTGCAGCAGATGAGTGCAGATGGCTGAGAGAGAGTGACAGGAGCAGAAAATGGGTGATAGGCAGTGCAGGATCAAACAGGATAAAATAAACAGAAACTGAGGGGGATCCAGGGGCGAACTATGACACTCAAAGAAACTCATCAGAAGGAATTCAACTCTTCGCCCATGTCTGTGTGTGTCCTGTTAGCAAAATATTTTATGAACCACTAGACAGGATGTCTGACACTCTCAGAAAGTAATCATTTCATGTTCATTAACCTGTGGAGTCAGTCCATTCAAGATGGCCGCCACAGCTAAGTGACCTTTACCACAAATAGTTGTGAATAAATCAGTTCCATGGAGCTGAGATGTTGGTGTGGTAGTAGCTGGGAGTCATTCACAGCACATACTCTGAGTGCTAACAGATCACACAATATTTGTTTTGAAAACTTTGCCATTACCTGCTGGAGTCAAGTAATCTCTTTCTGTTAGCAAAATATCTCATGAATGAGTGGAGGGATTTGAATGAAACTCTTAGGAAGTGATGATTAGATTTTTGTCAACAACCGATTAACTTTTGGAATCCTCTCCACCTTAACCAACACAGAATTAGCTTTAGCTTGGTCAATTTTAACAATATTCATGTTTTTATTATTAAATGATCCTTGTACTTTTATGATATATTTATAATTTTTACTTAAATCAGACAAGTGCAAATATTTCTTTATAATCATTCCAGATTCTTCCACAACCTTCTAACAAAACCTGTTGGATTCATTACTGTCTCAAGAATAAAAATACTAATAAAAGTTAAAAACAATTAGTTTAAAAGCTTTGTTTGTTCTTAAAAAAAAACAGAATAAAGAACATAGCATGAGGTTCATGAGGTAAAACAACTTATTGGCCCTGAATTTAAAAAATAAACTGGTTTAGTTTTAAAATGGACCAAGTGCAAAATAAAAAAAAACAACTAACAAGTGGCTTTGCCTTTTAGTTAATATATGTTTTATGAAAGTGTAATTTAAGAGACATATACCAGTTAATATCCAAACTTACCAGTAAAGTAGTCCACATTTTTCACACCCATTAAAGCTCAGCCTCAATCTGACATTATCTGAGGTGACATCTTGTGTCAATAAGACCATCATGGAAGAATTTAAATTTATCTGTAATGTCTGGTCAGAGACACGAATCTGCCTGGGGTTCAGAGCTGCTCTCACACATCTGGACTGATGTTTGCTGATTGAAAGATTCAGCCTAAAGCCCAACCCTGTGATAGAACATTTATTAGTCACATGTTTCTTTAATGTTAATGTATCTGGTTTCAAAGGAGCTGCCTTTCAAAGCTTGACTCCTCGATTGTTTGATTTGATGCAGTAACGCGTCCTTTCCTCACATTTCCTTCATGCCGTTTGTTCAGTTACACGCTGTATATCGCCCGTTTGTTCAGTTACACGCTGTATATCGCCCGTTTGTTCTGTTACATGCTGTATATTGCCCGTTTGCTCTGTTACATGCTGTATATCGCCCGTTTGCTCTGTTACAAGCTGTATATCGCCCGTTTGCTCTGTTACATGCTGTATATCGCCCGTTTGTTCTGTTACGCTGTATATCGCCTGTTTGTTCTGTTACACGCTGTATATCGCCCGTTTGCTCTGTTACACGCTGTATATCGCCCGTTTGTTCTGTTACACGCTGTAT